GGTGTGCTCAGGGCTCACCGGAGCCCCCCCACCATGGCGCTGGGCCCAGGTGGTGGGGACGGTGAGAAGCAGGGGGGGGCGCGGTGTGGCACGGCTGGCAGCGGGGTGTGCGGTGGAGCCCCAGCATGCAGTGGGTTGGGGGAGCACATGGACTGACCCCCCCTCGGACTCCCCCTGCGGTGACTCACCTGGTCTGTGCCCCTCCATAAACTCAACAGGTCCATAAAACATCTGCATCTTCGAGGGGGCTGCAAGAAGACGCCAGTCTCAGGGGAGCGTGCCCATCACCCTGGCGTCTGGGCACCAAGCGTGCCCGTCACCCTCCCTTCCCCCCCAGCATCGGGGCGCCCCGCGGGCTCACCCTGGACGTAGAGTGTGGCAGTGCCCTCGTCCATGTCCAGCATGTTGGAGCCGGTGCAGACGTAGACGCCGGCGTCCTCGGGCCGCACGCTGCGCAGGGTGAGGATGCCGTTGAAATCCACAGCACCAGGCGGCAGCGTCCCGTGGTTCTGCCGCGTCCACACCAGGGTGTAGGCGGGCGACTAGCGGGGAGAGAGGGAGAGGCTTGAGGCCACGGGGATGGGCACGTGGAGTTGGTGGGGGGGAGACCTGCTGGGGATGGAGGGGCTGCACAGGGGGTACCCACAGGGGAGAGGTGGGCACCCAAGGGTGTTCACAGAATCATTCAGGTTGGAAAAGACCCTCGGGGTCATCGAGTCCAACCCTCAGCCCAACTCTACAGAGTTCTCCCCTACCCCACATCCCCCACAGCTCATCCCAACGGCCCTTAAACACACCCAGGGATGGGGACTCCCCCCTCCCTGGGCAGCCTGTTCCACTCTCTGACCACTCTTTCTGGGAAACACTTTTCCCTCATGTCCAGTCTGACCCTCCCCTGTCACAGTTTCAAGCCGTTCCCTCTTGTTCTGTCACCAATTCCATGTGGGAAGAGCCCAGCACCAACCTCTCTGCAATGTCCTGTCAGGAGCTGCAGAGAGGGATGAGGGCTCCCCTCAGCCTCCTCCTCCTCACACTGAACACTCCCAGCTCCTTCCCTGGCTCCTCACAGGATTTATTCTCCAGCCCTTCCCCAGCCTCGTTGCCCTCCTCTGCCCTCGCTCCAGCCCCTCCAGATCTCTCTCGTATTGAGGTGCCCAAACCTGGACACAACCCTCCAGGTGTGGCCTCACCAGTGCAGAGCACAGGGGGACAGTCACCTCCCTGCTCCTGCTGGCCACACTAGTGCTGATACAAGCCAGGATGCCGTTGGCTTTCTTGGCCACCCGGGCACACTGCTGGCTCCTGTTCAGCTGCTTGTCAATGAGAACCCCCTGATCCTTCTCCTCCAAACAGCTCCAGCCACCCCTCCCCGAGCCTGTAGCCATGCAGGGGGTGGTTGTGGCCCAAGGGCAGGACCTGGCACTTGGCCTTGTTGAAGCTCATCCCGTTGACGTTGGCCACCGATCCAATCTATCCAGGTCTCTCTGCAGAGCCTCCCTGACCTCATGCAGATCGACACTCCCACTTCACTTGGTGCCATCTGCAAACTCACTGGTGACACACTCTGTGTCCTTACCCAGATCATCAGTAGAGATGAACAGAAATGGTCCCAACACCAAGCCCCGAGGACACCACTTGTGACCGGCCGCCAGCTGGATTTAGCTCCACTGACCACCCCTCCCCGGGACTGATGTGTTGATGTGTCTCACAGTTACATGGGCACACAGGGGGTTTGGGGGGTCCATAGGGCACCCAAGAGTGTCTCTGTGCCCTGCACGGCCCTGTGGGCACCCAGGGGTGTCTCTCTACTCTGTGGGACTAGCTGGGCACACAGGGTTATCCATATGTCTTGCAGGGCCTTAGGGGCACCCAGGGGTGCTTGCATGTCCTGCACAGCCAGGTGGGCACCCAGGGTGCCCTGCATGGCCCCACAGGCACCCAAGGGTGCTCATGTGCCCTGTGTGATCAGGCGGGCACCCAGGGGTGTCCCTATGCACCCTGCATGTCCCTGTGGGCACCAGAGGGTATCTCTGTGCCCTGTACATCCCCATGGGCACCCAAGGGTGCCTGCATGCCCCCCGCCATACCACACCCCCCCTTGGCTCACCTTGCTCTTAGCGGTACAGACAAAGGTGACATCGGCCCCAGGCTTCACCCGCTGCACCCGCTTCTCCTCCACGGTGACAGTGATGGGTTTGCCTGGAGTCTCTGTGCCAAGACGGGAAAGCTGAGCCCCCTCCGCTTCATCCCTGTGCATCCTGTCCCCCGCCTCGGTGACAGTGACCTACCGGTGACAATGACCTCGGCGCGGCTGGCATTGCTGTGCCGCAGGTTGCGGCAGGAGCAGACGTAGACGCCGGCTTCAGAGGGCTGGATGCTGGCGAAGTGCAGCTCCTCGCCTAGAGGGGGGGACACACAGGTGATACCCCACGTCCCCTCCACCTTGGGGACACCCCGATGCATCCCCCAAAGCCACCCCAATACCTTGTTGCCGGCTCTGGGCGCCCTCGGGGAGGGGTCGCCCATCTTCTCGTGCCCAGTGGTAATAGAAGGGGGGGTCGCCGCTGGCCTGGCACCGCAGGGTGACGGCGCTGCCCTGGGCCACCGTGGTGCGCGGCGGGTGGACACGGACAGCCAGGGGGGGCGGGGACCCCCCGGGGACACACGCCTGGCCACGTGCTGTGGGGTCCCCCACATAGCCAGGTGCACAGCTGCGGGGGAAAAGGGGGTGAGCGTAATGGGGGGGGAGACACAGGGGGTATATTGGGGTGAGCCCATCGGGGTGAGGGTACTGAAGGGTATTTTGGGGTGACCATATTGGGGTACATATAGCAGGGCAAGTCAGCAGGGTGGGTATAGCAGGGTGAGCATATTGGTATTGGGGTGGGTATACTGGGGTGAGCACATCGGGTGGGAATATTGAGGTGAGCATATTGGGGTGCATACAGCGGGGTGAGTCCTTTAGGATGCATATATCGGGGTGAGTACATAGGGGTGGGAATATTGGGGTGAGTACATCAGGGTGGGTATAGGAGGAGAACATCGGGGTGAGACTATCAGGGTGAGGCCATCAGGGTGGTTATATTGGGGTGAGCACCTTGGGGTGGGTATATCAGGGGGGTGAGCACATCAGGGTGGGTATATCGGGGTGAGCCCATCAGGGAAGTATATGGGGGTGAGCCCATTGGGGTGAGTATGTTGGGGTGAGCCCATTGGGGTGGGTATAGGTGGGTGGGTATACTGGGGTGAGCCCATCGGGGTGAGCACTTTGGGGTGGGTATATTGGGGTGACCACATCCGGGTGGCTATATCAGGGTGGGTATATTGGGGTGACCATTTCGGGGTGAGCCCATCAGGGTGGGGTTTTGGGGTGAGCCCGTTGGGGTGAGCACTTTGGGGTGGGTATATTGGGGTGAGCCCATCGGGGTGAGTAACTTGGGGAGGGTATACTGGGGGAACGACATCAGGGTGGGTATACTGGGGTGAGCCCATGGGGGTGAGCACATCAGGGTGGGTATATCAGGGTGAGCCTTTCGGGGTGAGCCCGTCGGGGTAGGGTTTTGGGGGTGTCAGCCCCCCCACCACAGCTCTCACCGCTCGCAGTACTGCCCGGCGTAGCCCGGCTCGCAGGCGGTGCAGCGGTACCCGCCGCCTCCCAAACTCTCGCAGGTCCTGGAGAACCTGTGGGGACAGGGTGAGGTGGGGGGGGTGTCCCCTCCCCAGCACCCCTTTGCTCCGGTCTGGCACTCACTGGTTTTCGGGGTACGGGAGGGGACAGGCGCAGGGCTGGCAGTCCTCAGGGGTGCCAGCGGTGGCATCCCCGTAGAAACCAGGGGCACATTGGTCACAGAAATCCCCTGCTGTGTTGTGCAAGCATCCCTGGGGGACACACACACAAATTGGGGGGGTCACAGTTGGGATGAGACCCCAGCCCCTCCAAAAAACCTGCTTAATCTCAAGACTTACGGAGCAGACGCCGCTCTCGGGGTGGCAGCTCTCGGAGTGCCCATTGCACTCACAGAGCTCACAGTGCCCCAGGTACAGCCCCCCCCCGGTGCGGGTGTAACCGGGAGCACAATCCTGCCAAGGAGGGAAGAAAAGGGGGGGTTCAGTGTTGTGACAACCCCCAGCAAATATCTGTGGGAAGTGGGGAGGTGATGACAGGGATGCTGAGGGGGGATGCTGGGGGCTCACCTGGCAGGACAGCCCGTGGTACCCGGGGGGGCAGCGACACTCCTCCACCTCAGCGGCCAGGGGGAGGCCGGGCTGGGTGGGCACGGCCGTTTCCATGACAATGTCGGCGATGCTGGATGCAGCCGTGCTGGTGGAGTAGGTGGCTCGGATGAGGATCTCATCCAGGTCGGCCAAAGCCATCAGGAGATGCTCCCGCGTTGCTGGTTGCCCGTCTGGCCGCTGCCAGTATTGCTGCAAGCAGAGGGGGGTGTCAAGGCAGGGGGGGACACACACCAGCTTGGCACACCATGGAGATGGGGGACACTGGGGACAAAAGCCACCCACGCCCTCCTACCTCCCGAAAAATGATCTCGAAGGTCTGGGGGGTCCGCGGGGTCAGGTCAGGCTGGTACGCCACCAGCGTGATGTCATTGCCCTGTGGATGGGGGGGGGTGTCAGAGGGGGTTCTGGTGTCACTCTGTCCCTCCCCCCCTACCCAGGCACCCCCATACCGTGATCTGGATGTCGGCGTCAGGCAGGGGGGCTCCCTGCCCCCCTGGGGTGTAGGTCAGGGTGTAGCGGAGGCGCCCGCCGTAGGAGCCCACCTGCGTGGGGAGATGGGGTGGGGTGGGGAAGGGAAGGGGAAGGAGATGGGATAGGGGTGAGATGGGGATGGGACAGGGATGGGGAATGGGGATGAGGAAGGGAAGAGAAAGGGGATGAGGATGGAATGAGGATGAGGGAAGTGAAAGGGAAGAGGAAGAGGATGGGACAGGGGTAAGGATAAGGAGGGAGAAGGGAGAAGGGAGAAGGGAGAAGGGGGAAGGGAGAAGGGAGAAGGGAGAAGGGAGAAGGGAGAAGGGAGAAGGGAGAAGGGAGAAGGGAGAAGGGAGAAGAGAGAAAGAGGATGGGGATGAGGATAAGCAAGTGGAAGGGAAGAGGAAGGGAAAAGGATGGGAATAGGATAGGAATGGGGATGGGGAAGGGGAAGAATATGGGAAAGGAGAAAGGAGACAGGAAAAGGAGAAAGGAGAAAGAAGAGAGGAAAAAGGAAAAGTCAGGATATGGGGGAGGCTGTGCCCACCTCCCCCTCCACAGAGCCACGGGACGAGCAGCCAGGGGTGCCCACAGGGAGCGGGTGCAGGCTGGGTGCTCCTGGGGGCACCCCTGTCCCCCGGGGAGGGACACACCCCCTTACCTTGTCCCCCTGGTATGGGGGCGGCAGCTGCCAGTAGTAGGAGTCGGGGGGCAGCTCCCCGAAACGGTCGTAGGTCAGTCGGGGCTGGGGGGTGCCCGGCTCCACTCGGAAGCCGGTGCCCACCCGGGTGCTGCGCTGCCGGTTCACCAAGGCGAATCCCTGGGGATTACCGGGAGCGAAGGGTGTCTGGACCTATGGGATGGGGATAAAGGTGAGCGGGGTCGGGGGACATCTGGGGATACCCTGGGGACATCGTCGGGGACACTCACGGTGCCACGGGCGTAGGTGGTGCTGGCGCAGTGCTGGACGATGCCCATGCAGAAGCAGGGCAGGCAGCCGGCCGGCTCGCTGGCGCTCAGGTGGAAATGGTGGGGACGACAAGTGGCACAGTGGGGACCCTCCACGTTGGCCTTGGAGGAGGGGACAGGGACACAAGGTGGGTGTCATTGCCTTGTCGTCCCCTCCCAGGGCTTGGGGACACGCTGAGGAGGGGGACAGGGCTCACCTTGCAGCGGCACTGCCCGTCGGCGTCGCAGCCCTCGCTGATGCTGCCGCGGGGGTCGCACTGGCACTGCCCGCTGGGAACACCCGGCTCTGTGGGGCAGGGTGGGGGGACATGGGATGACAGCCATTGGGCAGGACCCCCCAGTGCCACCGTGGGGGACACTGCCTCATCCCCTCCCTGTGACACTCACCTCGGCATGGCTCTCCCCGCAGCGGGTCCCCCACATAGCCGGGCGAGCACCTATGGGGGGAGCACCAAAAAAAAGCCAGTGAGGGGGGGGTTGCACCCAAAAAACCACAACCCCCACCCCACTCTAGGTTCCCCTGGCACCTCTCGCAGAGGCGCCCGCTGTGTCCAGGGGCACAGGCGCTGCAGGTGGGCTGCCCATCCGTGTCCTCGAAGCAGGTCTTGGTCACCCTGCAGAGGGGACAAAGGGATGAGTGAGCCCCTGTCAGTGTCCCCAGAGAGGTAGAGGACAAGGGGTGGCACCTACTGGGTGTCACCGTGTGGTCCATGGCAGGGACAGGGCTGGCAATCATCCGGAGTGCCCCGGGTGGCATCGCCGTAGTAGCCAGGTTGGCACTTGTCACATTGGGCACCTTCCGTGTGATCCCGGCAGCCCTACAAAGGAGAGGGTTTACAGTGTTGGTGACACTGCCATGGGGATCCCTGCGGTGTCCCCTCACCGTCCCCAGCTCACCTGGCAGATGCCGGTCTCGGGGTGGCACTCGCCGGCGTGGCCGTGGCACTGGCAGGGCTCACAAGTGCCCAGGTAGAGCCCAGAGGTGCTGCGGGTGTAGCCGGTGTCACAGTCCTACGGAGGGGGCACGGGGACAGGCAGGGTGAGTCACTGCTCAGTGTCCCCAAGGCCGGGGTGAGGGGACACCGAGGGTCTCACCTGGCAGGAGGCACCGCGGTAGCCGGCTGGGCAAGCACAATCCTCCACCTCCAGCGCTGGCGGGCGGCCAGTGGCATGTGGCACCGCCACGTCCAGGCTGACATCGGCCAGTCTGCGGGGCGAGAGGGGATGTCACCACCGCTCTGCTCGCCTGCACCCCCGTGTACCCTGTGTCCCCTCCCCATCCCCGGTACCTGCTCTCCTCTGGTTGATCGGAGTAGGACGCCCGGATCATGAAGAGGTCGACATCAGCCAACGCCATCAGGAGATGCTCACGGGTGGCATCGCGCCCGTCCGCCCGGCGCCAGGCACGCTGTGGGCACAGGCGGGGGGTGACCGCCGTGTCCCCAACCCCATCCCAGGGTAGGGCAGGGGGACACACACCGGTCCTCACCTCGCGGAAGGGCACGGTGACAGTGGTGGGGACACCCGAGACGGGTTTGGCATCGGAGAAGTGCTCTAGGAGGATGCCGTTGCCCTGCAGCAGGACGTCAGGCTGGCGCGGCAAAGGTTGGGCACCCACCGGCGCCCGGTGTGTCACCGTGTACCGCAGCTCACCACCATACGATGTCACCTGCGGGGAGGGACACAGCAAGGCTCAGCCAGGCTTGGGGACATTCACCTTGTCCCCCAGCCGGCCCCGGCGCTGGCACCTTGTCACCGGCGAAGGGTGCAGGCAGCACCCAGTAATAGACATCACGGGGCAGCGTCTGGAAGGCGGCGAAGAGCAGCTCCCGCGGGGAGGAGAAGCGGGTGCCTTCGCCCACCGTCCGTGTGCCGGCCAGGTTGGCCAGGCTCAACGGCGGCGTCTCTTCAGCTGTGAGGAGGACCTGGAAGGGGAGTGGAAAGGGGCTTGGTCGTAGGCATGGCATGGCATGGCACTGCAGGGCACAGCACGGCACATCAAGGCATGGCACGGCACAACACGGCTCTACATGACATGGGAGGGCACAGCGCTACATGGCACGGCATAGAAATGCATGACGGGGCTCTACATGGTATGGCCTGGCACAGCACTACATGGTGTGGCACGGCATAGCACAAGAGGGCACATGTTACAGCATGGCACAACATGGGATTGCACGGCACAACATGACACAACACGGCATGGCGTGATGTGGCCTGACATTACACAGCACAGCGTGGCATGACGTGGCAAGACGTGGCAGATAATGGCATGGCATGGCTTGACACGACGTAGCATGGCAGGGCAGGGCACAACATGGCACTCCATGGCCTGGCTTGACATGACATAATACAGCATGGCATGGCAAGGTACAGCATGGCATATAATGGCATGGTGTGGCTTGACATGGCATAGTATGGCACAGCATGGCACAACATGGCATGGCAAGGCTTGACATGATGTAGTACGGCACAGCATGGCAAGGCACTACCTGGCACAGTATGGCATATAATGGCCTGGCATGGCACTACATGGCTTGATATGGCAGAGTACAGCATGGCAAGGCACAGCATGGAAAAACATGGCAGATAAGGGCATGGCATGGCTTGGCATGATGTAGTAC